CATGACTGAGGATGTCGGTGAGGCTGACGCTGACTCGGATGACATGGGCCCTCTCGACGGTCTCATCATGGCTGTCAAGGACGTCAAGATCTACATCATGATGCTGACCTTCACCGCCTACGTCGTCGGTCTCTCCTTCAACGCATTCTTCCCTACCCTCACCCAGACCCTGGGCTTCGGCTACGTCCCCACCCTGCTCATGAGCTCTCCTCCCTGGGCCTTCTCCTGCATCATCTCTCTCATCAACGCCTGGCACGCCGATCGCACCCAGGAGCGTTTCTGGCATATTGTCGGCCCCATTTGCGTCGGCCTGGTTGGTTTCGTCATCTCCATGTCGACTCTCAACGTCGCCGCCCGCTACGTCGCTCTGTTCCTCCAGGCCAGCTCGTACGCCGGTTTCATCGTCTTCTACTCCTGGATCTCCTCCTCATTCCCGCGTCCCCCCGCCAAGCGTGCCGTCGCCATCGCCATGATCAACGCTTTCTCCCAGCTCGGCAACGTCGCCGGATCCTACGTCTGGAACCTCAAGGAGAACGGTTTCCGCCAGAGCTACGGCATCGTTACTGCCATGTTCGGTATTACCATCATCGGTTGCTACATCTTCAAGGTCATTCTTGACAGGCTGAACAAGGAGCTCGAGCAGAGTGAGACGGCTGACACTGCCAATGCCACCAACACGGAGGAGACTGCGGCTTCGCACAAGTTGGGCAAGGGTTTCAGATACCTTGTTTAAGCGCTACGAGTTGTTATGTGAAGTTGAAACCATGCGGTTTGATACCCAAAAGAGCGGATTGTACATTAGGACCTCCACCTTGCCATTTCTTTCGGGGCTCGTGTCAATCACGGGATGTGGCAAGACTCTTAGTTTTGTTGGTAGAATGGATTAATGCCGTAATGAAATGAATCGCAAGAAGCGAATCAGACCCAAATCGCCATTGAACACACAATTTTCTTGTTCACTATCATGAATCCATCCTAGTCTCCTACGTGAAATCCGCTCTAGGAAGTTGAGCACTCCAGCCATAGGCTACGCCGCGAGAATTAAGTCGCAAAGGGGGGGCAGAATTGGAGTAGTTCCCCAACCTGCCGGAAGAAGAAACCCTAGGAGCAAGGAACTAAGGTGGAGAAGAGAAAAGTTCAACTCTGCCAAGTATCGTATGGCCAACTTCTTTCGTGTCAGCATTAACTCCGACCACATTTTACTTCCGAGAGATTAAGAACCAATCTCGCGATTCCCACCAATTTCCACTCCTCACCCGGCCAATCCCCGCGTTTTCCAGATCCCGCACTTTCTCTTGACTAAAATACGGATACCTGGGGGAAGATTCCGGAGTCGGCCTTCACTCGGCCCTCCACGCCCTCCACACCGCCCCGCGTCTTGGATTCGGACTGTGACCGAGCACGAAAACCGGACGGTTGTCTCAGAGCAAGGATTTGGCTACGGATAGACTAATAGATGGATCTTTTCGCCCCGCCATCTCCTCTTCCCCAAAATCCCACTTTTCAGTTCCACTTGGATTGAGGTTCGGTTGAAAATCCTTGGTTAACCGCGGGACTCGGGAGGCTGAAGCCCTGTCGAACCTCCACAACCCTAGATAGGAGTTATGATAGCCGGATGCGCATGTTCGAGTTGGATGCCAACAAAGCTTCTAGTCATAACATGCCATCCACTGAATTGCCCTTGCGAACTTCGGTTACAGTTTCCCATGTTTGTTTGTTGAGACTCCTCGAGGATATCTGATGCCATTGATGAACTTTCCTTCCAGAGTGAAGTAGCATCAACTCAAGACAAATCTTGCCATTGTAATCGACTTAACCCAAACAAAGTGAAAAACTTGACCCTAACTATGGAGTATTCGTGGGCTGCATCCATATCGTAGCTCAACATCACCCTTGGCTGTTCTCAATAAACGCAATGAGCAGGCCCTCAAATTCTGCGTGCACCGTTGAATGTGAACTGTGCTAAAACTAAGCTTTTTCATATTTCAAGGGCTAGTCTTCCGCCTCCAAGGCACCGGGTCGGGAACCAAGCCACCAAAAGGCACCTTGTCTTGTGCCATCCAACCAACGCTGTTTCAACCCCGGGATTTTGAGAGGTTCAGGGCCATTGGCTTGCATGCTGCACGACCATCCTGCCGGCATTGGCTGACGTAGATCATCTTAGTATAGAGGTTCCTAGGGCAAATAGCCGATTCTCGGGGACTGGGATGCTCTACCCCTCTTTGCTACATGAACGGGAGTATCCGTAGAAGGTCTTGATAGATGATCGATCATGCGGCTCACCTTCCTTATTAAACAGAGAAGTCACATGCTGCGGTTCACTTGCAAATAAGCGTCGCTCTAGATGGCGCCTTGGCTAGTTCAGCTTAGTCCTTGGCTGAACTTCGCTTTATTGGCTCGCTCAACAGCGTTTCGGCATCGCTCAATTTTGTCGAATGTTAGTGGGAACGTCCGATGGAATCGCAATTGATTGATCTTATGCGACTGAAATATGAGTAAAGGTAGCACGTGCCAAAACAAGAGCATATTGTGAGGGGAAGGGTTGTTATCTTTCCCTGGCAACGAGCAGTATCATTGGCATCTAGTATGATGGTATGAACCACGCCAGAGTTTTGGCGTTTACACAACTTCCCCCTTACTTGGAGCGTCTTCAAACTCTGCAGATATGTCGTCACTAACTCATCACACTTGACCGAATCCAGGGCCCTCTAGCAATGAGCAATTTTGGTCATTTCCGAAACCGGGAAATATGTGTCAGATCCGGGATCAACATGTAGCCAATTTTATGATATGAGGGCCACATCATTGTCCTCGGTCTAGAATGACCCGAAGACCTATCCGCTCTCTTGCTTCTCAACTGGGGCTCGATTCGTGTACGACCAGGGGTTTGCCCCCACATTACGATGGTTTCTACGTTGAAGTGCTCGCTAGTGAGAGAGATGGTGAGGCGTTTGGCTTCGATGTTGTAAGAATCTGTCAACTGGTTCCGAGAAATATGGCATGTATCATATATGGTGAATATGGCCCGATAAATTCACCTCGCTTAGGTTCTTAGCTTGCAAACGTTACTTGTATGCGCTGAATCATTGTTGGAGCTTGTGAGCTCATGTTCTCCTTTTTGGCTGATTCTACCGTGAAAAGATGCGACCTCCTTGGTGTATCAAAACAAGATCGTACATGGCAAAGAAAGACATTGAATTTGTTTCCTGCTATTTATTCCCGCACTCGAGGCTAATCTAGGTAGGTGCTGGATAAATGTCTGTGGCAGGTCTGGTTCGCGGACAAACGCCATTGCAAAGTCCAAGCACTGCCATCTATTCCTTCAATCGGTTGCCGACGATAATGAGGCGGTGGCTTTGGCCATCACTGACAAGATTTCGGCTGATGTGCGCGTCACCTGAACTTTTGATCGCCGACGAGGGAATTACTAGCAGCGAGCATGATGCTTCTGAGCCCTACCAGCATGCATGCAGCAACACTTGGATCTGTATCTTGCCAAACAAGGTTTTAATTCTGTCTTTATATCTTCAAAGCTTCTACATAACTCAAGATTGCCACTGCCTTCAAGCCACCCGGCCGAGATTCACTACAACTTTCTGACGCCTCTTCTCCACCGAGCTTCACATTTCCCATAACCAAGCACCTCAGTTAGAGGCAGACAACTGAACAGGAAAAGTGAAGACTTGGCTCATTGCGTTCAGTTTGGATTACACGCCATTGCCTAGTCGTAGAATTCGCATTCCGCGAGTTGAGACCGGGGAAAGTGTCTAGTAGTCCCCGAAAAAGTGTCAATGCTCATACGACGGCCAATCGGTCATGATAGTAACTCCACATCTAACGGCATTCTAATATTGCGCCGTTGGTAAGTGATGAGCTGTAAGGAGGTAGTTCGGACGACGCACGCTATGACTTGAGGCAAGACCTCGCCATACGCACTCGCTCGAGGCTTGAGCGTGTGGCTATATAACTTCAGCTCCCGTTAGGTCACAGAGCTCAGACAGAGCTCGCCGTTATTTGCGAAAATCCAACTGCACCGAATTGCTTTAGATATTTTCCGCTGTAGGAACAACGACCTGACTTCTTTCAGCCAACGGCTTTTCACAAAGTTCCCGCCTAAAGAAATGAAGGCCCTCTCAACTCTGCTTTTCTTCGTGGTCGCAACCACTCAAATCTATGCCGCACCAGCAGCCGATGCCAAAAACATCGTGTCAGAATCAAGTCTCAGAGCAGAATACCACACATCATGGGTAGAAGACCCAGCCGTAAGGAACCCTTACCCTGACGCTCAGTTCCATGAACGTCCAAGTCGCAGTTCGCTGATGTACCATAGCAACCATGGCTTCGAAAGAGAGCAAGAGGGCAAGGAGACCCTTGCGATCCTGGCAGAGGCGAATGTGTGACAGGCCTTGGATGTTACGGGTGTAGTGGACACTCGCCAGTGTGTCAGCGTGGGCCTGGGTCCAATCTGTGTTGTCATCGAGATAACCAAGCTTCGGTGGCCATATGCGACAGAACACAAGGATAAGAGTGTTACCAGTGTTCAGATGGAAGCAAATTTGGTTGCGATATGTTCACGTTTATAATTATTGCACATCCTGATGGAAATAGTCCACGATTGTAGAAAAGTAGTACGATTATGTAAATACAGATATTCTGCTTCATGAAACATTCCAGGCATGGAATTATGTTCTGTTAGTTACTAGAAGGGGAATTTCCAGTGTGGTATGTTATATTATGCCGTATTAGTAGATATCTGTGGGAGTGAGCACATTTATCAACACAGCAAGGGTGAGTCACATTCCCTTCAATTTCTTTTTGTATATGTACACAGAATCTACCTAGCATCATTCACCTTGTCCTTTTGCGGTTTCAATCGAATGATGGAGCATATTTGTCAAGACCATTGACTGACAATGTTCATTGAGACCAGCCCTAATCGTAGTGCGTTCGCGCCGAGCGAGGTCAAGTCAGGGCCATGATCCATTTATGTCCCAATTTCTTTATTTTGGGGGGCGTCTGGGCCTTCCGTTGGGTCTCCCGTTCGGTCTTCCGTTGGGCCTTCGGTTATTGTTGTTGTTGTTGTTATTGGGGCGGCGAGGAGGTGGCTTGCCACCACCACCACCACCACGGGCCTCGATGGTATCGCCGAGTCCCTGTAATGGTGAAATTAGTGGGTGTTTCAACATTACATGTGCCTTGATCCATAGCTTACAGCAACTACATCAAACTTGGGCGGTTCCTATGATGAAGCTAGTCAGCTGAGGGCACCAGTAGAGAACTTAGCCAGGGCAGAATCGCAGGATACTCACAAGAGCCTCGCTCCTCTAATCATGCAGATTCGTCAGCATCCGTATTATCACAACTTGACGGACAACTCAACGACTCACCTCGGACAAGTCTTGAATGTCAGCCCCCATTTGGACGTTGGGAACCGCAAGTGAGACGGTGGCATAGAAAGCAACACCAAGGGTGACGATGGTCTTAACGGACGGAACGAGCATGTTGAAAGACAGATAGCAGAATCTTGATTGATGTCCTTGTGTTCGTAGTAGCGTAGACTGCTGGTGTCTGCAGGTGATGGGTTATTGGTGCGGCTCTCAGTCTGATATTTATAGACAGCACTTACTCTGATCTCTGCAGAAGACGGGACTATGAGTTTGTTGCTTTCAACGCCGTTCCATTCATGTGAACGTTCAAAACTCATGGCCCATCACCAACGAGGCCAGATGCTCCGGCCAGAGCGACATAGACTTTTACCCGCAAGTTTCAACAAGAAGTCTCGAAGGCCAAGACTGCACGACGATGGGGACATTGGAGAGGGGTTCGGCGAGGCACCAATATGCGATCCCCCGAAAACGACATGGAGTCACGGCATCCATCAACTGAACCAACAGCACTGTTTATGCATGTGCGTGAACGATCCACGAACGCGGAGGTCCTGAAGTCAGGATTTCGTATGCGACGAAGTCTGTTTTGGTGCTGCTGCTGGCGGCACACCTAAGAATAGTCCCGCGGGCCTCCCACCCATCCCGTCTTTGACGAAACATCTGCCTTGATCGAGACTGAAGGGCAGGGATTCTTCGTTTGAGGCTCGGCAAAAGTCGACTCTTTTTAGTGATTGGGGATCTTCTGGCCCCATGTTCCGTTTCGTTCGGAACAATGGCACGGTTGATGATCGCCGCTGTCAGGAACTGCTCTTAAGTGGATCAGTATGATTTCCATCAACGGCACTCCAGCACAAGAGGCAATTTTGAACATGCTCATCTCTACGCTTTCCATTGAAATGTCATTGAAGAACTTGGAATAAGACTTCTACGTGATAGCTCACGCTTTAGCTCCCTCATTTGCCTTAACTTCCCGCTTCCTGCGCGGAACCAAAACTTGTTTGGACTCTATCCCGCCTCTCCCGCAAAGAGGCTCTTTTGACCCAAACTCAACTGTCTGCCCGCCCAGTACCACCTCATGCTCATGGATAGAAAGTTTGTGATGTTTGACAAGAAGTGTTTTGTTTGTCAGGTTTTATTCAGATGAGCCTCGGCTGGAGAATCCCTCATTGTCGCCGATCCCAAAGTCTCAAAAGTCTTGGCCTTCAGATCGACACGAGTAAATCAACACGACAGCACGGTGGAGCGATCCATGAAACGAGTCACTGGGAGGGGAAACATAGAATCCAGTCCTGCCAAGAGCGCCTGGACTGATGTAGAAGGATAATGAGGCGGACATTAGACCCTGGTTAAAGTTGACGAGAACGATCACGTTGAGAGGGGCATTGAGGGGCTATAAACATTGCATCAATGCATTCGTTATAAGGCGGGTGGGAACCGCGCGCGCGGGGAGCTGAGGCCAAGTTCGATGCCGAGCTTTGATCTCCCGGCCCGCCAGGCCGCCTAAAACTGCTTCCGACGGCTAAAGTTTCTGGTCTGGACTGGGATGTTGGACGAGCTCCCAAGGCAGTCTGTCCAATGTCTGTCCGACCAGCTAAAGTGTCAGTAAGGATATGGACGCTGCGTGACGGTATATGTCAGTAAAGTAAGCTGCCTGCCGATGGCCAACGTTCTTCCACTAGTAACCGATGAACACGTGCAATTTGAGTAAGACTTTGCACGTCTTATTTTGAGGCTCCAGTCCGATCTGAAGGAAACTTACCAAGGAGACATTCGTAATAAGGTCCAATAAGATCGGCGGAATCGTCTAGCACCGGAAAGTTATACATAGTTGCCCCGCAATCCATCGAGTTGCCACGCTTTCAACTTCTGAGTAATAAGCAAGTGGGGTGAGCTCCGAGCTTTTCAGAAGGCCGAGCCGAAGGTGTGGTGATCCAAGGAGTATGGCGGTGACCATCGAACATTCCTTGTAGGGCCATCAGATAATTCTCGAACATCTGTTGGTGACAGATGTCTGAGCTGGATATCTGGTTATTTGTTCGTAGCGGAGCTCCACCTGCAAGTATCTCCGTCGTTATCACATGCAGGTACTAGGTAATAGGTACCGGATAAGAATGGAGTTGACTAGGGTATCGTATTTTGTGATGGAGCAATCGAACGAGGTATCTAACATCTGAGCTGGCGATGAAATGGCCAACCACAAGCTCAGTTTGAGCAGCAAAAAACGAAGCGGACCTGTCAATATCTAGCTCTTGAGATAATCTCTAGAACCATAACCTCTACTTGTGGTTCTTGTGTAAGGCCCAGACGAGGTGCGGACATCAGAGGTTTTCTTTCTTCCGCTTCTTTCTCTTCTTTTCCGCATCACCCAGTACCGCTGACACAGTGTGATTTACACTGAAAACCCGAGGTGATGCAGGTACTGTGAGCTGCTTGGCTTTCCGAAGCAACGCTACCAACGTGTACTCGGAAATTTCTAGCAGGTCTAGGAACTTCTCCTTCCATAGGGCTCAAAGGGAAACAGAGCGGACACGCCGGCCATGACTCCAAATAGCGCCGCGCAGACATACAATGGAACCGATGTTGCTGTATTACCACTGCTCGCAACAAAAGCAGACACGATACCCATGAGGCGATTGAAGGCGACAGCGATACCGTTGCCCGTGGCCCGATGGGCTGAGGGGAAAACCTCGACAGTGTATGCGTACAATGTACCGTAGTAAATGTTGATTGCACAAGCTGAGTCCGCAAGTTAGCTGGAAATGCTCTCAAATCTGGGGGGCGAGGAACAAGTTACTTACCAATCGCGCAACTGAGGCCGATGTTCTGGTCAGCGGTCGACACCGCCGTGTAACCGAAGAAGAACGCCATGGAGAGTAAAGCGCCGATGGCCATCGTGTACTTGCGGCCGATGCGAGGAATATTGGCCAGGTAACCAGCGATAATTGGGCCGGGAATACCAGAAATGTTGGTCAACGTATAATTTCGCCACGTCTCGAATGGAGTCTCGGTGTTATCCGGCACTCTCGACGCAAGGTACGATCTGGTGCTATCAGTCAATTTCCATGATATTCTTCAAAGCCTTTTGGAAACTTACGGCAGGAAAACATAAAACAGGGGATAAGCCAGTCCAATCAGTGTCCACGAAAACCAAACCAAGACAGTGCTAAGCGTCATTCTCTTAGTGTAAAAGAGGCCCTTGACGTGAGCGCCCAGCTCGCGAATCACAAACTTCAAGTTGTTTCTGCTCTGGCCGGCGTTCTTGATCTGCCCACACGCCGTCAACTTCTCCAACGTGAGCGAACAGGGCCGGTTGTACTTTTGCGCCATCTTTTGGTAGTTGCGCACCAGATCGGCATCACGGCCGACGCTGAGGAGGTACTTTGGTGTCTCCTGAAGGCGCATAACGGTCACTCGTGCAACGGACGCTACGAAGACGAATGCTCCCGAGGTGAAAGATACGTAACGCCAGCCGGGGTTGTTGGACCAGTTACAGTCCATACCCTCGGTACAGTTCCATCGTTCCTGAGCTGAATAAACAGTCAGCATCTCATCAGCAGCAAGCCGGGAAAGCCATCACGTCTTACTCAAGAAGCCCCACGCAATGAAGCCCACTAACGCCTGCCCGAAACCCCACCACAATGCGAGCGCTGTTACCGTCCACTGCTTATTACTCGGGAGGAATTCGAGAAAGACTGTCGGATCGAGCACCAAATTACCGCCAGCTCCAAATGCCGATAGCGCGGTGAAGAAACCCCACGATTCAATATTGGGACTCGCACCCGAAACGATTGTCGCGAGAGACGTGATGAGCAGCGTGACATTAAACGCGATCCTCCGCCCAATGATATCCGCGCCGAATCCCCAGAAAAGCGCCCCGATGAGCAAACCGACGTAGAGCGAAACAGTGCCCGCGTTTGAGTACGTTGACGGCTTCCCGAGTTCAAGCATCGCACCCGCGTTGGTGACAGACTGGACCAAGGCAATGAGCGAGTCGACGGCGTAGCCGAAGCCGTTGAGGACGAAGAGCTTCCAGTGGAAGTTTGTCCAGCCAATTTCATCGTTTGCCTGGGTTAGTTAGTTCTGTAGTTAAGCGTTAAGCGTTGCATGAGAGCTGTGATGGCGGCGAACGTGTCTGGGTGAGAGACCGTGAGCCCAGACTCTAGAAGCTTTTTTTGGTTGGTTTGTGAAGGTTCATACGTCATTGACGAGGTGCATTTTCATTGCGAGCACGGGGTCCTCGCCCTCATTTTCCAGAATGTCTTTAGCCGAGCTGACGGAGGTGTCTTCAATGTCGGAGGCCGGAGCCCCGGAGTCGACAGTCTTTTTCTGCGTCGCCGGGTCGAACATCTTTGCGTCCGGTTCGTGATGCACCATGCACTTTGATGCTTGGTGGTTGAGAGGGAGAGGGAAAAGACGAGGACGGGGAGAAGCGGAGCGGCAAAATTGAGAGAGAGGGAGAGAGAGAGGGATGATGGGCGTAACGAAAGCAGAAAAGTAAGAAAAAGTAAAATTCAGACGATTTAAAAAGGTCCAAGTTGCCTTCTCTGCGGGGTGGTTTTGTGAGAGAGGAACGAGCCTCAACCAATGTTACACGGCCAAGGGAAATTGGCGCAGGGCGAAGTGTTCCACTATTGTACTTTTGGGATCATGTCGTTGAAGCTATCCTGTTCGTCGTCTGCCGGACCGCTTCCTATCTCATTCGCTTGGCCCATTTCGTAGCGCGATTAAGCTGCATGCCGTAATGGCATGGTTCTCTTGCGGCTACCATGTTCAAACGCGGCGTGTATTTCCCCGAGTAGAGTAGAAAGCAAGGCACCAACCACACCGAGAGGACAGTGGAGACCTGGGCGAGCTACCGGTATCTGATCCATCATAGGATAGAACCGCGAAAAGCCGGGGCCGTCTTCGCCTCCAAAGGTTCAAAGACGAACTTAAGGAGGTTACGAGAGCGTAGACCAACGATATGGACGAGATCTCATTGGATACAGAACCGGTCGAAGCATCGCTTTACACCACTCTTGATGAAACGTTTCCGTTAGTGGTGCTTTGGCGGGAGAGCCATTCGCCAATGACGTGCACGAACATCACCCCACGTGCGAGGCGAGATTGGAGCT